AAGAAGTGGGCGCTGGATCTGTGGAGCAGGGAGTGGGTGGAGGAGCGCATCATTACGGGTGTCGAGGTCGAGACGGAGGGGGAGAGGTGGGTTTATGACATGTTTGATGAGAATAGTGCTGGTGGTGGTGGCTTCGGAGGTCCGGTGGACTCGTCGCCGACGACGATGGGGAAGGGGAAGGCGAGGGTTCCTAGTGCGCCGCTTTCGGGATGGGAGGAGGGGGAGGACGGGACGGGAAGGAGGGGGGAGTGGAGGCGGCGGAGATGGGTTAGGCTTGTCAAGAGGCGGGCTACGACGAGTACTGCTTGAGGGGTTGGATGGAATTGTATAGTATGATAATGATAATGACTTGAGATCTAACGGGCCAGTCAGTCACTTCCGACGTGACCCTTCAACCTCACGGTGGACATGAGTTTCTCCCTAAACTTGAGACTGTGCACCTCGATGTATCCTCTAAGTTAAAGTTTGAATGTACTTGGATTGTTGAATCACCCATCATGGCAGCTATTAAGACATTTATTTTTATTTTTATTTTTATTGGAGTTTGCGAACACACGATCATGGTAAGGTTATCTAGGTGCGAGCGTCGTCTTTTGCCACCCCAGGTTGTTACCTGAACGAATATCCTCACGTGCGTGAATAGTGGTTGGATATTACTTTGCGCGTTAGCTTCTCCCCTGTCTGCCGTCTCTCAGATCAAGTCTAAATGCCGCCCCTGTCCGGCATGCCAGCCGGTTAAAAAAAGGGTTTCACCAAAACCCAACCAACACCAAAGGGAAAAAAGCTAGGAGAGACGTTCCCTTCATTCCATCTTTCGGATTAGGTATTTCCATCCGTCAAACTGCCTGACCTCGTCCCATCCATCCAAGTGTGTCCCTGAGATGAAATTCCCCCATCCCATCGTTTTTTGGGGAGGCAATCTCCCGCCTCCACAGAAAAGAAGAAAAAGAACCAAAAGCCATCCGTCATCAAATCATGAAGTCGTATTCTTATCGGCGAGGACCATCTTGTCGAGAATCTTGTGCACGCCCTTGGTCAGCCCGCGGCCCTCGTCGATATCATCCGCAATCTTGCGCGCGCGGTCAATGAGCACGCCGACGACCTGCTTGGTATACTCGAAGCTTCCCGTGCTCTCCATGCGCGCGACGGCGAAGCGCTTGACCTCGACGTCATTCGTCTTCTGCCCGAGGATGTTGATGAGCTGCAGGTTGGACGGGTCGGAGCGGATGCTGTGGATGATGGGGAAACTGAACTTGCCCTCGGTTAAATCCTCGCACATGCCCTTGTTGTCCGAGTACTCCTTGGACGAGAGGTTCATGTAGTCGTCGCGAATCTGGAAGATGAGGCCCATGAGGTTGACGAGCTCGGAGCAGTCCGTCAGGCTGCGGGACTCGGCCTGCATGAGCTTGATGCCCAGGCGGAAGAGGCCGCCCGTCTTGTTGCCGACCATTTCGAGGTAGTCCTCCTCCGTCGGGCAGGTGAGGGTGTCGCGCCAGAAGAGGTCCATGCCCTGGCCGCGGTGGAGGTGGACGAGCTCTTCGGCAAAGATGGAAATAGTTTTGGGGTTCTTGAGGCGCTGGAGCTCCTGGAGGGCGCAAAAGTAAATGTAGTTGGCCGAGTTGATGGTCTGCGCTACGCCAAAGATGTTGTGCGCGACGGGGAGGCCGCGGCGGAGGGAGGACGAGTCTTCCACGTCGTCGATGAGGAGGGAGGCCGTGTGCAGCATACCGACGACGTTTGTGATGACATCGATGCTGGCCTGGGGCACCTCGAGCCAGACGTTGAAAGCCTGGATGAGCTGGGCGCGGAAGTCCTTGCCCGGGTGGGCAAAGAGGTAGTCAAAGGGGCCGGTGATGACCTTGTCCTTCTCCTCGGGCCAGGTCTTGCGGGTGAAGTTCAGGTCAGAGGTCGCGTAGCGCGAAGGGTCCGGGGGCGGGGGAGGCTGCATCGTGAGGGTGAAGGACGTGGCTTGGTTGGTTCCCAGGGAGGGACGGCGGGACCGGTGAGAAGAGTGTGAGAGCGAGTGCTTGTGGGCGTGAGTTTGGCCGTGACCGTTGTTGGTGTTGGCGTAGTTGGCGCGGGAGAGCCAGTCGGTCTCGGGGACGGTTCGGAGGGGCCCTTTGGAGGTCGCGGGCGTGGGCGCGGCCGCGTGGGCGGAGAGGGAGACGGGAGCGGCGGCGGAGTGGTGGCCGATGGAGGATTTGCGCGAGGGGATGACGTTTGGCGGGGAATGGGGAAAGGAGGAGGAGGGGTTGGCAGTATTTGTATCCGTAGAGTAGGAAGATTTGTCGGCTGCTTTTTTTGAAGGAGGAGAGGACGACGAGGACGCCGACGGGTTATTAGGCACCATCGCGAAAGGGAGTCTTCTCCAAGGGACTGGCTGCCAGGGGAAGAAGCGTGGCTTCTTATGGACGCCTGGTAGGGAGGACCCGGTCAAGGTCTCACCACCAGCACCAGCAGCTGCAGAAGCTACAGCTGCGGGAGCTCCAGGTGTTGGCTCAAGCTCAACAGAGCTCGCGTGGGCTGGGGATGCGGCGTTGTGGAGCTCTGGCTGGTGGGTTGTGATAGAATCGGTCAGCTGGCGCCGTTTCTATAAGGCCGTGTAAACGTCACCACTTGCTCAGCCAAGGTGAGATTCTGCCTGGGGGTGAGGCATAACTCTGTGAGGTAAGGTAGGTTGTGAAATGGTGTGGGTGGTGGATTGGATAGGAGCGGCATTGCGGCAGGCAATTAGTTGATTGCTGCATATGCGAGTGCTTTTCTGCCAGTGTCTGTATTGGTCCGTAGACTATGTGCATGTGCTGTCTTTTGGCGGGGAACAAAATGAGATGTAGACCGTCATGACTTTTCTGTGAATAGGACCTTTTCTCCACCCATTGCTGCAGGGGAATAGGCGTAGGCAAGGATGGTGCGTGAACCGGAATAGCAAAGAGGAAGAAAGGCCAAGCTGGGTCACTGAACCTTGCTTGGAACGGCCTTGGTAGGATCCAAGAGGGACGGTTGTGGCGGGTACCTGAAAAGTCCTAGACAGACCTGCAGCAGACAATCAAGGAGAAGAAAGTATGGAAGAAAGCAACAAGGCAAAGAGAAGTTGGAGATGGACAATCACATGTCAATGGAAAGCAGTTTGCGCACCTTGAACATGCAGCAGGAGCAGCAGCAGGACAGCAACAGGAGCAGCGATGGGAGCTGTGGCAGGAGCTGATGGAGCCCCAATTGCCCAGGGCAGAGCTCAGGTCGTTTGTTGGAGCTCTTATCGATTGATGGTGGGGAGATAAGGCAGGTCCCGTAACCTAAGGTATTCGGGCTTATGTTGAGGCCGAAGGAAGGAAGGAAGACGTCATCCAAATTCGCGGCTGGTCCTGGGGGTCGGGATTCCGTCGATGCCGAGTTCCTAACGGGCGCCGCGGACTTTGGCCCGGGTGGTTGGCCGGAGAAGCAGCGGTGGGGGGGAGGAACAGCAGAATAAAGACAAGGGACCGGATATCTCGGTGTAGTGATGACTCGTCTAGTCGTTGCTCTCCCGCTTGGTTGATGTCGAACAGATGAAAATGGACTGGAGAGGGGAGGAGAAGAAGAGCAAACCGGGCGGGTGCTCGAAAAGAGAGAGGTTCGTGCGAAGTCTCCGTCTTAAGAATCGGCCGGAGCACGGAGGAGACACGGACACCACCCACCTCGAGCCAACTGTGAACTACCTTACCGCAATAAAGAGTATTGGGGAAACGGGCTTCTAGAAGAGGAGGAGAGCGAGGCACTAACACATTACGGAGTGCTGCGTAGACACTAAGTTCTCGGATGTCACCCAAAATCCTCCTGATCCGCGTGCTTGTCGCCCGTCACTCTGTCACCCCTTGACCATGTGCTTCATCCTGCCAGACTAGCCATGTACTGTGACTCGTGAGGCCTCGTCGCCGTGTAATAGACCGGGTGAGAAGGGGAAACGGCAGTAGAGAGGGCAGAGAGAAAGGTCGCTCGCTCCGAGTCGGAGCAACTCTAGACACTTGGATGTGCCATCCCCTCGCGTCTTCAGGTTTCATCAACGTTAAGTGCCGGTGTTAAGCACCCGCAGCTGCTGTGACGGGGCCGGCAGAGAGGTTTACCTTGTGCCATTCGACGCCGCCTCTCTGCAGGAGCCAAGGCACACGGCACACCGCACTTCAGGGTCATAGATCAGGGTCAATGTCAAAGCCTCGCTTATTTCTCAATCTCTCAACTTCCACAGCCTTGAACCCTGCTCGCTCTCCGAGTTCCCATGCATGGAGGATCAGGGAAAGAAGAGAGCTCATGCAAGAAGGGAAAGCCCAAGATGCTTAGTCTCCCGGCCCGTGCCCCCCACAATGCCACCCAAAGAGCCAAAAAATGCGCTAAACGCAGCCCAATGGCTCCCCTAACTGACCCGCTTAGCTAAGAGACGGTCACCAAAGTGACCAATCAGACACCAGACTTCCTCTTTAGGCAGCGCTACATCCCCATCCCAACGTGCTGGATCGACCCGGTTGCCGGGGCAGTAATCGTCCAACGCAACACAAACAACCCGCATTGTCCACCAACATCGTCGCTTTCCACCTTCTGTTGTATCTCGATGCTACCGGGTAGTCGCTCTCATGAATGACCACCTGCGCATGCGCCCTCGCCATTGAACTTCTTATTTTATTTTTGCCTTTCGCACCTCCCTCGATACGATTCTCGCGCAACTGTCATACGCCGCCGCCTTTCTCTAGATCCCCAGAGGACTTGTCCTCGCCAGCCTTTCTTCTTCTCTTTTTCTGTATTAACAATATCCAACGGTGCTGCTACTTTTCAGACTCGACTTCTGTCTCTATCCTTCGATCCGACACAACAGCATCTCATAGCCACCGAATCATACACAAGTCACATCACCGAGAATCGCATCGCATCGTCTCTTTTGTCTTTGCCATATTACACCCGATACCCACATCCTACAATCAAGCCACCAAGCCACCGCCCATCACAAGAGCTCACTCACAACGTTAGACGCAATGGAGAACCTCCTCAGCCTCGCGTTCGACGGCCTCTCCTCCTACGACGGTCCCAAGATCCGCAAGGGTCTGCGCCAAGTCGAGGGTCTCCTCGCCCAAATCTGCCTCTCAGCACCGGCCAAATCGAGGTCACCCACAACAGACGACGATGCGTCCCATAACAGCGGAAAGTCTCTAGCAGACTTGTCAGATGACCCGGCCTTCCGCGAATTCTTCAAGCTGCAAGAAGGATTCGAGTGGAACGTTGCCTTGCGCCTTATCAACACTCTTGACCGCCTGATGGGCAAGGGCACCGATGGACAGAATGACCTCCTCATTCTCAGCTCGCTGGATCTGATCCAGGGCGTCTTATTACTACATCCGCCCAGCAAAGCCCTCTTCTCACGAGAGCAGAACATGAACGTAGGTCTCCACCGACTCTCCCACCGTCATTGTTCAAAGCAGAACACTAATTCCAATCTCGCGACAGCTCCTCCTCGACCTCCTCGAACCCGTAAACTGTCCCGCGATCCAGTCCGCCACCCTCCTGACCCTCGTCACCGCCCTCATTGACACCCCGACAAACACTCGAACCTTTGAAGCCCTCGACGGCCTCCTCACCGTCACCTCCCTCTTCAAATCCCGCTCCACCGCTCGCGAGGTCAAGCTCAAGCTCGTCGAGTTCCTCTACTTTTACCTCATGCCCGAGGTTCCCTCCATCCCCCGCGCCGACGTCCGCTCCTCTGTCCCAGCCATCCACCAGCGCAGCCCAAGCAAGCTCGCCGGCGCCTTTGGCAGCGCAGCTTCCACGCCCGCCTCCACCGAATCAGGCCGGAGCCGCGCCGGTAGCGAATCCGCCGACACCATGACGACCGAGGAGAAGCAGGAGCTGCTGGGCCGCCACCTGAGCAATGTCGAGGATCTCGTTAGGGACCTGCGGACGTGCACGCCCTTTGGCGGTGTCGTGTGCTAGCTGTTCTCGACAAGCAAAACTGCTCATCTTCGGCCGGCATTTGTTGTTTTCGGGTTTCTTATCATCATCCCAGGGAGTTGGACTCTTGTTCGTGAACTCTGTTATCTCTGTCCATTGCATGGTTCATCTTGTTTGGCGTTCTCGTGGAGGGTACGATTACTAAGGTTTTACACGTTTCGGGCGTCGTCATTCATGGAAACGTAGGCGAGGAGTTTTCTTTTCCATTATTCTTTTCGTCTGTGGCCAAGGAAGGGGAGTTGCTCATTCCAAAAGTTTCCCTCTATCAGAATCGCATAATACGTATTGTCAAGTTGCGTCCCCTTGAGTATCGTGGAGACATCAGGAAGAAGAGAAGGAAACGCGCGCATGTGCTTTTTATCGTTTATCAAGCTGTATCAATATCGTCGATTATCGTTTGTGCTCCAATTCCTGGGGGGTCCGTCTCAGAAAAGACTTGAGGCTGAATTTTAGAAAACATCTTACTTTGAACAACAACCTTGCTCCGTTTGCTCCTTCCACGTCCTCCTATCTCTCCCTCTCCCTTTCCGAGGGAGCGGGACCTGGTGACCGATCAAACATGCTCACGCTCGCGATACTCCGCGGCGTCATCATCGATGGCGTCGGCACAATCGACGAGGGCGGCGCCCCAACAGACACGGACGAAGCCATCTCGGACCCGTACAACTCGTACCGCCCCTGCGTCGTCTCCTCCTCGGACCCGGGCGTCTGCATCTCCCTCAGGCCCCCTTCACGTCCTTCCTCCGGCACGGAAGTCACGCTGTGGCCGTAGGCGTGACCGTAGCCGTAGCCGTAGCCCCTCTTCCCGCTCCCCGAATCCCCAATCTCCACGGGCGCGACAACATCGTTGGGCGAATGCGCGTGAAGCGGCACGCCTCGTCCTCGACCGGGTGTACCCGCCCTTCCCCCTCCGCCTCCGATCCCGGCTCCCGAGCCATCGGCCGGAGACAACCCGGTCTCGTCAGTCTCGGTATACGGCCCCGCAACGGCGTCCGGACCAAAGTAATCTTGCGTCGCGCCGCGACTGGGTCCGTTCGGGCGGGACCCGGACGTGACGTCCGATAAGGCACGTACCCCGCGACTCGGCCTCTCGCTCCCGACGCCGGAAACTCCTCCTCCTCCACCTCCTCCTCTTCCTGCTCCCGTTCCTCGACTCCGCCCGCCGCCGCCGCCGCTACGCTCAGACATCGTCGCCGTCCCCGTCACAGTCCCCCTACGCCGTCTCCTCACAAAACAAAACCACGCGAGCGCGCCGGCGAGAGCACATCCCACAACAGCAACGCCAACCCCGATCCCAGACTTGGCCCCCGTCGACAATCCCCCCCCTCCGCCTGTTCCGCCTTCGGGGACGGTGGTATACCCCACATCCCCCGTCGCCGTCGGGTTCCCCGCCGCGCACCCGGCCGTCCCGCTGACCACGGTGCAGTGCATGAGGTTATCGCAGCACCCCGCCGCCGTATCATCGCACGCGTGCTGTGTGGTGGCCGTACACTGCGGATCAGCGGGCTTTAGCCCCCCCGTAGCGGAAGAAGATGTAGATGCTGAGACCGTGCTCAGACAGCGGCCGCCAGAGACGCATGTTTGGCCGTAGGAGCAGCAGCCGCCGCCGAATTGGGATTCGCAGCGGAAGGCGGAGGGGGAGGGACAGGTGCGGCCGCAGCAGGCTGAGGATGTTGAGAGGGAGGTTGTGAGGACGGCGGAGGCGGAGGATGCGCTACCGGTTGTGATGGTTCGCGAGACGGTGGCGGTCACGGTTATTGTCGTCGGGCATTGGTAGGCTGTCGCGGGGCAGTTTGAGTCGCATAAGGAACCGAGGGGGCAGCACCAGGGTGAGTTATCGGGTTTGACGTAGCAGTAATTTGTGTTTGCGCAGCAGGTCTCGGGGTGGCCTATATCAACGCCTATTGGGGGGGAGGGGTTTGGTTTGTTTAGTTTGATGCATTTGGTGATGAGTGATATCACTTCTCCTTCTTCCTCATCTTCTGAGAGGCAGAAGATCTTTGGGGGTAATACGAGGGGGAACCCAAGGTCAAGAACGGAAGTCGAGTAAAGGATATTGAGAACATTTTATAAGAGGTGTGTACTTACAGGAATGAAAGTTTGGGTTACATATCCCGCCGTCGCGGACGGCGAGCCTCGGTGCGTCGATGAAGAAGCGCGGTACGAGACCGGCGCCCCCGACGGCTGGCGACATGTTGACCGCGGCATATCTCTGTCTGAAGGCCGCGTTCGGGCCGGTGGCCACGGTGGTAGCGGCCAGCGCGAGGATCGCGAGGAGCTTCATCTTGTCTGCTGCTATCCCGACCCCCCCAAGAACAGCAAGGTTTGATCGAGATAACGTCGAGGAAGGCCGATTGGAATGCCAAATTCAATTAAGACCACATTGCTCCCGATCTACGAAGCTTTGTAGAAGAGAAGATGAGATATTTTCCCGCCAGCCTGCCTGTTGGTGGTGGTGTTGGTGGTGGTGGAAGCCTCGGAAGATGGGGGGTTGTGTGTGTGTGTGTGTGTGTGTGTGTGTGTGTGTGTGTGTGTGTGTAACAGCGAGGCAAACCGCGGCTGAAAGTGAAAAGGCAAGGGACGCAGAAACAATGGTGAGCAAGCAACTTGAAGAGTGGAGGGGGAAAGATGACGGTAATTAATGTAGGTAAGATGGCGGCGCACAGAAAAGGCTGTTGCTGCTGCTGGTCATGCTGCAGCATGCGCCTAGATGGAGGGTAAAGTAGCATACATCCATCATGGGAAATGGACGAGCATGTAAGCAAAAAAAAACCCCATTCCCTAGGCGGATTGCACAAAGTTCCTCGGGTTTGTAGGAGATATCCTTGTGCTTCCTATTTCTTCAATCTTGCACTTGCACGACCTGACTTCAGGATAGAGAACATTGGAGAAGAGAGTTACCAACGAGGTTGCCCAGCTTGTAGTCAAAGGCGCGAAACGAAACCACTCGGTTTGCTCACGAGTACCTTGTTCAAAGCTCAATTTGAAAATGCAGAAGCGGAGCGCCGTTCCTTCTCACTTGCCCCTCTCGGTCGCGCGCCGAAAGGATTCCTTGTAATCCGTGATGGAAATGATTGGTTAGCCTGCTCTTACTATCCCATCTTCGTTGGTTCGTTTCCCTTGCTGTGCCTCTGGGCTGCATATCGGGAGACCACCCAACCTCTCTCCCTCGTGGCGACGCAGAACATAATGAGCTTGTTCCTCCGAGACTAGCAAAGATAGGACTCTGGCTGTGTGGGTAAGTACCCTTTGGAGCGCGATGTCTGGGGCACCTTGGTCGCCCAAGGTCGGAATAGAACACAGGACTTGAGGATGTAGCGAAGAGTGCCTGGGTAGATGGATGGAGCGTCACACCTTTGAGCCCGATCCCAGTGTTAAGTCTGCCGGTGTAACATTAGACTCGCGCTTCTGTTTGTAGGTAAATTAGGTCAGTCGCAACGCATATGAGAATGTGGTTATGAGGAAACCCACAGAGGGATTGTCCAATGGTCATGAATTTAGACAAAAAGGAAGGTTCAGGGCGATGCCGTGCAAAAGGTTGGAGACGAACCTGTACGGTTGCGCCTGCGTTTCAAAGAGAATGAGAGAGAGAATGAGAGAGAGAGCAGCCAAAATGCAAGCAACATAAGGATGAACAACGCATCCGACTAACAGACGTCAAACTGACAACTCAACAACTTGGGACTCTATACTATAGCAATCCTGGAAAAACAACAAACTGGAGATATCTAAAGCGGAGCATTTCAGGCCCGACCCCCCCGACGACGGATGGCCGGCCCAAAGCGCCAGAATGGAAGACGAAGCTCGCCGGGCGCGGGCCTCGACCAGACACGCCCGCTAAGGCTAGCGCCCGAACTCCCCCGCAGCAGAAGGTATCTGTGCAGAAACGGCAGAATCCCGAGGCCACAGGCGGTCAAGCCACAGAAGAATCGAACCCCACCAAACGAATCTACCTTTACCCCTCCACCCACCTCCTCCCCTCCGATCGAACTTTCTCATTTTTGAAGATATTCCCAAACGGCCAAAAAAAAAAACCACATCCAGACATCCCTTCCACCCGCGACCCGCGACACGCACAAGTGCATCTCCATCCAAACCCTGCATCGAATCAATACAATAATAAAGAAAGAAAAAAAAAACAAGAGGACAAAAGGAGCACAGCAAACTGCCGAAACGCAACGAAAACCCCACCCGCCATCCCGCGCCATTCATCACCACCACAACCACACCAAAACCACACAAAATGACAACAATACCACCACCAGAGGGCGCCTTCCCCCTCCCCCCGCTCCTAACCCACCAAACCTCAACCCCGCCAACCCTAATAACCCAAGGCGCAGAAGCCCGCCTCTACCACACAACCCACCTCTCCCCCAACCGCCCAGCAGCCCTCAAATACCGCCCGCCCAAACCCTACCGCCACCCGACCCTCGACGCCCGCCTAACCCGCTCCCGCATCCTCGCCGAAGCCCGCGTCCTTGCGAAATGCCGCCGCGAGGGGTGTCCCGTCCCCGCGCTCTACGCCCTCGACGAGGTGGCGGGTTGGTTGATGCTCGAGTGGATCCCCGGTGCGCCGGTGAGGGTTCGGATCAACGAGTGGCTTGGGGAGAGGAGGAGGAGGACAACAACGGCAGCGATATCAGAAGAAGGAACATCAGACGCGACGACAGCACCACCACCACCACCACCCAAAAAAGACCCAACGGGCATCAAACACCTCATGCGCAGAATGGGCACAGCAATAGGTCAAATGCACAAAATCGGCATCGTCCACGGCGATCTAACGACGTCAAACATGATGCTCCGCCCACCGAAATCGCCCTCGGACGCAGACGATAACAACGATCCCCTCGACGGCCAAGTCTTCATCATCGACTTTGGCCTCGCAAGCCAAAGCACCTCGGACGAGGACCGCGCCGTCGACCTCTACGTCCTCGAGCGCGCCTTTGGCAGCACCCACCCGCGCGCAGAGGCCTACTTCCAGGACGTCCTCGACGCCTACCGCGACTCGTACAAGCAGGCGCCCGTGACGCTCAAGAAGCTCGAGGACGTGAGGATGAGGGGTCGCAAGAGGAGCATGATTGGTTAATTAGTAAGGTCGAGGTTGCCGGGTCAGTTACGGATGGACATTGTTTGGAAATATTTCGAAGCTTTCGAATCTACTTGCGGAAAGATGGCGGACACATGCACCTACAACAAGCTCGCGGAGATTAAAATCAAAAGAAATGTGAGACACATGACGGCATGGAAAAGAAAGTCGAATCAAATTGATACCCGTAGAGTATTTTGGCGTGTTTTGCCGTTTCTACTTGATTCGCTACGTCTTCCTCTGTCTCCCAACATGTACATATTCTGTACTTTGTTCAGTCCATCATGTTGGTCCTGAGAGGTGCATTCTGTCTTGATGCCATCTATAGTTGCCCCCAAAAGTTCGATAAAGCCCCCATCCCCATAAAAAAAAAACCCCGACGCCAGGTATAAAGTAATAATGCCCGTGTGATATAAAACGCCGTGTCATGCTATTATTAGTCGATTTCCATAACGACTTTCGAGACCCAGCTCATTGTGTGTGAGCGTTTTTGTCGAGACGCAATATCGGCCGTGACGCGCAAGCATTTGCCCCCAATCTGCTCTATTCCTGTTTGACGAGACACTTTGTCTCAAACCACTTTGCAAATCGCACCGTCGGGATATCAAACAAGCGCCAGAAAACATCGGCGGCCCAAATAACCGCAGGAATGCAGCCGAAAGATCCTAGAACGAATCCCGCATTGTACCACCAACCCTCGAGGCCGGTGATGGCGTACGCACGTCTCTCAATCATGTAACCAACGGTGTGCATGACTGGTCCGTGCATGAGGTAAAGTGCGTAGCTGATCTTGCCGAGATACTGGATGGGAGCAAGGTTGAAGAAGCTCTTCCATCTAGGAGAGTGGCCAACGCAAAGAACGAAAATGACAGCTCCGATAGACTGCCAGAATCGGTATCCTTCCTCCGTCCACCACTTGGGAATGAACGTGCAGAGCCAGACCCAGCCAGGAGTGATTTCGTAGTTGATGTCCGGCTGGCACATGAAGTAGATGGCAAGAATACTGAGCATTGCCCAGAAGAAGCCCTTGAGTCTGCTCCCTTGGGGACCGGCGGCGCCATTCGAAGGAAGGACCGAGGGCTGCGGCACAGGCGTGTTGTTGCCCATGACCTGATCGTATTCCGCGAGCATCATGCCGAAGTAAAACAGCAGCAGCTCCCAACGGTTGTTTCGGTAGGTAAAGGCGATGATTCCCGAGAGGAAGAGAAAACGGAGTCCGGACCGTACACGAGCCAAGCCGATAAGGGTGATGAACAAGTACATGGAACAGCGGAATTCCACCGGGATAGTCCACAGGTGCACATCATAAGCTAGCAATGTTATTAGCAAACCACAACACGAAAAGTCTCCGTCTCCAAGATCGACTTACATGTGCTTCCACCAAAGCGCTCCCAGCCGAACACGTGAACAAAGTTGAACATGCTCCAGACCCAATCGTAAAACTGCTCCGAGAAGGTGTCCAGCGGCTTTGGGTGAGGCTCCATAACGTTCTTGTGGAAAGCCCGATCAATGGCAAAGTCTCTGGTCCATTCGTATACTCCAAACTGGAGCAGAAGCATGATGCAAAAGGTCGAGATGGCAGTCGGCATGTACAATCTGATGAAACGACGGAAGATCAAAGATGTCGTTGTCACGGAGAATTCCTCCATGTTTCCGGCCCTAGCAAGCTTGATCGGCTTCATGGAAAGAGCGTAACCTGAAATCACGAAGAACAGGCAGACCGCTGGCGGACCTTGGTAGAAGAGTCGGAAGAAGGGCATCTTGAGAATATGGTAGTTCTTTTCTGAGGAGCCCCAGCCTTCGGCAATTATGAAAGCTTGGTAAAAGTAATGGCAGAAGAAGACGAAAAGCGCGGCTAGGCCTCTCATGCCGTCGAGATGTGATGTCGGGAACAGCTTGTCGGTTCGGCCTCGTTCTCTCGTGAATCGGCTCTGGACGAAGCTAGGTAGTAGGAAGATGAGGCCGCGAATGACGGTGACCCTCCATGGTATTGCCCGCGTGTAGCCAACTACACCCCGGGCGACGGTTGACCATCGTGGTATCGCAAAACGGACTTCGAGGTCGGCCCTACCGCTCTCGCTCTCGACGTCGGACAACGTCTTCTCGTCTAGGAGTCCCATACCCTCTTCGTGTGATAGGGACACTTTTGAAGCAGCGTGTCCGTTCATTGTCCTGCAATGGAACTGGCGAGCGGG